TTCACAAATAAATACATGTAGGCTTTTGAGGTGAATGAGGGATAGATCATGAGCCAGGAGGCTACTAAGAAAAGTTGCAACCTGAAGTCAACATCGTGGTAGTTCACAGGAACCTACTTTGAAACTGTAACAACTGAACCTAAAAATAAATGATTTTTTTCCCCCCTCTGCACTAGAGATGACTGATGTCATTACTGATTTCTGTTTCAAACATATGACCTTTTTTTGTGAGGAGGAATGTTTGGATGAACTGTATTCTAATGATCCATATAAACAAAAAGTCCTATATTCTGCCTGCTCATCTTAATGGTTGATGGTTTAGTGTCTTCAGCACAGCTATTCTTTCATCATAATTGGAATATAAACCTTCTAAAAATGTTTGCAATATGCCAGGTGAGTCATTAGTTTTCAAGACAAACGTTGTGGGGGGAAAAAATACCTTGGTTTTATATTTTACTCTGCAAATATGGTCATTTATATTAAATAACATAATGTTTTTGCTCAGCTGTATCTGCAGCTTTTTGGAAGACCAACAAAGCAAACCCTCTGCTTCAGATAGAGGTGACTCCTAAGGCTTACTCTTGACTTCTTTCAGCCTTCAGCAACTGTTAACCTTTCAGATTGATGCATGTTTTGCTATACAACTTTAAAGATCATAGTCACAAGGATTAAAATAGTAAATGTTTATTTAAGGAAAGCTGAATTTGTATTTTGAGACAGATCTTAAAACGGTTTTGCTGTTCTATGTGATTGTAGCAGTACAGCTTCTCTTCCAAGAAAAGCTGCAGCTAGTTTTAGATGGGGAAGTTCCTCTCGGGTTTGAGATAAACTGGGTGAAACAATTGTCAGTGAATGGGTACATGGGTGTGTTGTTGGAGGGAGGAGGAGGTTGACTTGTCTAAGTGTTGTGGTGTGGTATGGTATAAAATCCTGCAAGCTGAGAATCTTGAGAGTTGGGAGATCCAAACTGCATTCTTGCTCCATCATCCTCCATCTAAAGCCTTAAAATATGAGTAACTTCATGCCAAAGAGCTAACTTTAAACATTAGGCCAAGAGGTTTTCAGTGGTAGATTTATGTTTTTCTAGAGAATTAGTGAAAGGTAGTGAACAAAGTCAAACCTGCTTGTCTTTAGGCTCGTTCCAGCTTCGTGGCTTAATCAGAAAAGGCTGAAAAACTGCCACAAAAGGAGAACGGGGGAAGTATCTTGCAGCTTCCTTGGTGAGAAAATGTGAGTGTGTATAGCTTAAGGCTGGAACACTTTTTTAAGCTGCAGAAAAACAGCTGCAAGTTCATGTGAGTGAAAGCATGTAAGAGAGTGCAGACTTGGGCTCTTAGAGTGGTGGGTGGGTGCTGTGGCCAACGGGCTGCTCCCTACCGGGTACCCGCTGGCTCTGGGCATCCTGGTGCAAGTCCTTCTAACAGAAGTGGTATTTCCTAAGTGCAGGGAGTCTTCAGAAACTTGTATTTGAGTCTCCCCAAATCCATAACTGTTGTCAGCTTCTCAGCTAAGTTGTATAATTGTTGTGCTCTCTCTGTCAACAGGCTCTCAAACATGTAGTACCCTGATTATCTGTCACTTGTAGAAATCTTTTTCTCACATGTGCCTTCCTTTCCCACAAGTGGACTTTTGAGGCCTTCCTGATCTGCAGACATCCAACTTGATGAGGAAACTCTTTCCTTAAGAAAACAGGAGCTTGGAAGTCAAGACCTTCTCTCTGGCCACAGAGCTTGGTGGTTTTTTGTTTGGTTTTTGGGTTGGTTTTTTTTGTTCATTTTGGTTGGTTGGTTTTCGTTTGCTGGTTTGGTTTTTGGATTTGTTTTGTTTTTTCTGAGCACACTTAGTGACAACTGACTGAAATTTTTTGGCAAACTGAAGTGTTGTCCAAAGCTACAGCTGCTCTTGTTCACTGAGATGCTGTAACAGCTTTTCTAAGAGTAAGATAGGGTAGTGCTTTATTTTTGTATGGAATTTTCTCTTTTCTTTTCTCCTCCTCCCCCACCTGTTTTTTCTTTTTCCCTCCCCCCCCCCCCCCCCCCTTAAATCTGTTACATTTTGAGAGGAAAAAAGGATGGCAAAAATTAGGCCTTGTGGCTCTACAAGGTTTATGAATAGTTGAACTTACTCAGCTGTGAACTGTAGTAATAATCTTTCTAAAGACTTTAAATACTTTTCATCAGAGAGAATCTTTACCAGCCTCCCCTAGAGGATCCCTTATGGAGATGTATGGAAATGGGGAATGCTGACCTCCAGTCAGCATGAAATGCCAGTCCTTCTTGCTTGAAGATGACTGTAAATTCTCAGTTTCTGATTTGGCTTCCCAGTCTAACTTGGATGTCAATAGCTTACTGCTATGTGTCTGTGTGTATCCACGGAAGCGAATTGTTGCAAGAATTGAAGAGCATGGCATTTATTTCTATCCCTGTACATAGCAGATGACAGCATTTATGAAGCCTGTCTGCCAGATGTTAAAGCAAAGTTTCTTTACTTTACGAACCAAGACAGCAGTGTACTCTGTGCTTTTGTTTGTGCTGGAAGTCTTGCCTCTAGGTGTTGAAACCTTCTTGGTACAGTCAGGTGGAATTTGATTGCTTTGTGCTTGAGTGGAGGAAACTGCTTTTGAGACCACAACCTTTCTGTGGACCTCATTGTTGGTTGTGCCTGTGCTGTAGGGCACTAGCTGTTGAAGCCTGCAGGATGAACTACTCCTCTCCAAGCTGGGGGGCTTTGATGTTGACTTCTGTGTCATCAGGACTTCTGCTGTAAAGTTTTTATGGTGATTTCCACCCCTGTCCTCTTTTAATTAAAAAGAGCAAGGAGAATTACTCCTGTAATTCCAAGGGTGGGCTTTTAAAGAGATCCGAAATTGGCAATTTAACCATTTGTCATGCTTGTTGTGTCACTTAGTTATGCTTTTTCTTTGCAGTCAAAACCAACGACCTACCTTTGAGTTTAACTTTCTGGGAAGAAAGCAGGAGTATATGAAGAGCAGTGCTGACTTCTTAAAAATACAGTTTTTGAAACAGTCTAATTTTTAATGAGCATTCAAAACAAATTTATAATTGGCTCGAGCTGGTAACTGTTCTTGAAGGGAGAGTACTTCAAAGCTCTTACCATGCCACACTTGAATGAGCCAATTCTGGAGTTCAGGCAAGTGGAACTTCTCTTCCCTTTAAAGCAGTAGTAAAGTGGCAGCATCACTTTCAGCAAGGACCTTGATCAGAATCGAGAAGGAGCTGACCTCAGAGACTGAGGCCAGCACACATTTTTAGAGGGGGTTGCTTTAACAGCTTCTGGCACTTCTAGTGTGTTCCTTACACTGCTGCCCTTACGGGTCAAATATTGTGGTGAAGCTTTGTTCAAATCCATGCTAAAAAACTAAGACTCAGCTGTAAGAATCTTTCACAAACTGTATCTTTTAAACAGCAAATTATTAGACTGGAGAAGGGGAGCAGGTTACATCCCCTCCAGTTTTTGCCTATTTCCTGTGCTCGCTGTCGTCAAAGACCTATCAAAAGCTGTAGCAGGAAGTGCTAGGAGCCTGCCTACTGTGTTCATTAATGAACCAGAGTTTGATGTTAGCAGCTCTCTGCCCTTGCAAGCAGGTGTCACTGCAGCCAGCACCAATTACAGCTGTGTTCAGGGGACAGCAACATGATTCAGCCAGTCAAAAACAATATGAATGAATGAAGCTTTCACAGTTCAGGGATTATGTATTTTTAGCAAGCAATATGTGATGTAATCCAACAAGATAGCTGCATTTTTCTGAACTTAAATGCTTGTTCTGTTCCTGTCAGCCTGCAACAGCATAACGTGAAACTTGCAAGTTACAAAAGGGAAAGAATATAAGAACAAGGTAGGGTACGATGATTTTTATCCCATCAGTGCTGGTAAGTCCTGCAAAAGAAAATAGATTTGAGGTTCTTATAAATTCGTGACAAAAGAGGTGAAATTACTGTTTTTAAAGCCCTTAGGTACTGTTGAGCATGCTGCATGTAGTGCTAGTAAAAATTAGTCTCTTAAGTGATTTCTTAACTGTGCAGCTTTCAGGCTACACAGCTGAAAAGCTGTAAGTTTTTCAGGCCTTTTGTTCCCTTTTAAAGTGTAGTCTTGTTCTCTTTAAGTCTTGGATTAAGCTGTCCCAGTAGCAGACATGTATAGGAGTACCTTGTTTTCTGGCAGCAAATAAAGATGTTTTATTGCCTGTTACAGGAAATGAAGTACAGCAATCTGAGAAGTCTGCATCTCTTAGTCAAATACTACTTGTATGTGAATACCCCCTTTTAGAAATCCAAAGTAAAGAGGTGGTGACTGGGCAGAGTCTGTAGTACACGAGCAGGGCTATATGTATGATGTTTTTTCCTGAATTATTCCTGTTCCTCCTCCTTTAGTGGAACTAAATATTAATCGTAATAAAAACTAACTGTAGGACCCCAGATCTCAGAATAGATGGTCAACCTGATCAACTGTATCTATTTTAAGACCTCACTTAATAAAGTAGGTCACCAGAAAAATTGATTACCTGACATCTCCTATAGTGAGTTAAATTAGGACTCAGTAGCTCTTTACTTACATGCTACTTTTATACCAAATGGTATTTTAACTTCCGAGAACAGAGGGCTTTTAACAGCAGAGTGAGACGAGCATCTCTTGAAACTGCCGCTTGGAAGCTGCTGTGAACCAGACAGGTTTTTGAAGAACACAAGAAGTGTCTGAAACTGTAGACTTTTCTTCAAGCTTTCTTGCTTATTTCTATACTGCTACTTAAAGTTTTTGCTTTTCTGAAAAAAGACATGGGTAGTATAATCTGGTCGAAGTATGTGCTTGGGCTGAACAGTGTGAACAAACCATTATTTTTAATTTTGTTTTTATTGACATGAGATTTCTTAACATCTGTCACATATATTTCCATAGATGTTTCTTTCAAGAGCAGCTTAGCAAACTGAAATACCACTTTGTTTTGTTTCTGTTAGTAAATACATCTCAATTCTATTTTTACAGCACTGATATTGCCCGCAAAGCAGAGGCCATCAGTGATCAATAGATTACGGCTCCAGCAACACAAACCAAACCATCACCATGAAACACTTCCTGAGGTAACTGTTCTGCATTTTTTCAAGTGTTAAATTATTCTAGTTGCTTCTGTGCTGCAGTGAGTTAAGAGTTTTAGCTGTTAGCAGTAGTACAGAAGGTGTAAACTAGTTTATACTAGATTGCTTTCTGTTGACCTAGATTTCACTGTTTAATTAAAGCTATTTTAATTTAAAATTTCCTTTCCAGTTTTTATAGAAGGAAATAATGTGGGAACTGTCTTGCGGGATTGCAGCAGTGATGTATATAGTCAGTAGTGCCTGATATGTCAGGGGAAAATAGGAAAAACTGTAACATATACCAGTGCTTGAAAAATGTTGGGTTTTTCTTTCGCATTCTTGTTTTCTGTCTGTATTTTTGGAGTGTTATTTGTGAAAGCACAGAAGGGGAGATGGCTGGCAAAAATGTGCAAATGTTTTTTAAGCCAATTGTGCTCAATTTGGAGGGGAATGTCTATTACTTTGTCCTATATATGACTTGCAGTTGTTTCTCTATAAACTGGGGTACTGTGGGTGACTTGCAGGTACCAGCTGTAGGTGCAGAAAGCCCATGTTTTCTTTGTTCTGCAGTCAGTAGAGAGAGTTGAGCACTCCTTGAAACTAGCAGAGATAATGAACTTAATTTGTGTATAAACCAAAGAAATCATTTTCTGTCTAGATGGGAAAAACCTTTTCAAGAGAGCTGAAACATATGCTTCTGTATAGAGCATCTGTCACTAAATTTTTCTCTCTTTTTAGACTGTAGTGAAGAATTGTATCCACTATGGATATCAGCATCATCACCTCTAGGCTGATCATCTGTGATGACTTTGCTACCAATCCAGTTTTGGCTTAAGCATTTCTGTGGGGTGTTTAGGTCAGTTTTCTTAGGTATCTTGAGCAAGCTGCAAAGGGACTCTGTAAACAGGATATACACAGGTTAAAAGTATACAACAAATACTTATTTGCCAACACCCACGAAAGTCAGCTAAGATTTAATGAGCCATTAGACTAAATGTTAGTGTGCTCATCACCCTGATTAGGTACCAGTCAGGACTGAATAGTCCCAAGTCTTCTATCAGCTCCATTGGTACTGGTCCAGTGACCTAATGGCTAACATCCCTGTGGTGTTTTTCCCCTTTACAGTATTATAACATTCTGTGTTGGCGTCTTCCGTCTTGGATCCGGCTAATGATTTTCATCTCAGCAGTCCTGCCTCTATAATTTTTACCTTTCTTTCTCTCTGTAGACTTGCTTAGCAGCCTGGCCCATGGGCACAAATTGGTACCATATGGGATCTGGGCCATGAACCCTGCATAAATGGGACTCTATCATCCTGGGGGTTGGGTGGGAGCCCCCAGCTGGGGTCACAGAGGCTGTTACAGCTTGCCCTCATAATGGACTGGTATCTTTTGAGCATAACACAATTTTACTCCCTCCTGATGGAGAAGCTGAGCTTTTGACAACTTCTTAGCTGCCAGGTCTTCCCTGACTACAGTAAGTGTGTTGCCTCTCCCTTTATGCTGTCTGGTTTGCCCTACTTTGGACATCCTGGCCCCTTGGTGTTTCCTTTGAATGTTGGAGAAGGCTGTTTTGATTATTTGCGTTCCTGAGGCTGTCTTGAAGAAACTACTTCCTACTTCTTTTCATGGTATTTCTAAAGTCAGTGAATCTTAAAAGATTTGGGAAGTCTAGATGGTGTTAGCTTCTCTTAAGTAGCCAAAGTAGATCATCTGAAAAGCAGCTGTTTATCTAGATAGCACAGACTGGGACTTTGTTATGCAAGGTCCAGTATTACAAATGCTGAACAAAAAGTTGGATTAAGGGGTGGGGAGGGGGTAATATGGAGCATCTCAAATAAGAAAACACTGTTGAAACAGGAAAGCTATTCTGTTTATATACAAGCACCTGGATTTTCCTATTTTATCTTAATGCTTTGACACAAACTGATATGAGTAATATACCCTCATATTTTGTAAATATAGAAGAAATATGGGGAGATTAAGAAATAACCTGGGCTCAGCCTGCAAGAAAAGTGCTCAGTGGGGACACTGAGTTCTGTTGTATGTGTTGCAGTTGCAGGTTTGTGTGACAGAGAATAAAGCAGTGATGTTTGGAGCTGCGGGGAGATATTCGTGCAAGACAAGGGTATTAAGTCTTCCAGCTTGGAAATCAGCTGGAAAATGAACAAGTTAATGTATATTGTGTCCCCTGTTGTTTGTCCATTACCAACAACAGCAGCCACCCAGGAGCTTGCTAAAAGTATCCTTAACTGCTTGTGAAGATCAAATGTAGGTCTGAATGTGGTGTACTGATGGCAAGGACTGCTCAGTGGCACAGTGTTCTCCTTGTTGCACAACATGGAGCATACACCAGACTGGCTGATGTTGATGGCATAGATAATCTCTGTGTTTAAAACCAATGACTTGAGTTAAGCCTATACAAACTGCAGGACATCTTCTTGACTGCAACATAGAAAATGCCATAAAACAGAACGAGAGCTAAGTAGGGCTTTCATCTGTAAAATTAAGATAATTTCAACTGCTCTCTCTGAGTAGTGACGGTAGCTTACCTGCAGCAACTGCATATTCACCTGGAGACACACGGGGGACTTTGAGAAGTGCCTTTCAAATTCAGCTTGTTGTAAGAGAAGACTCTTCCCTGTAGGCAGACTTGCCACTCAGCCCTGAGTTAAGTTTGTGTACTGGGGGCGCGCTGTAGTCTCTGCTGCTACTGTCAAAGGGCATCAGGGCTGGTCAGGCTTCTCTGATTGGAGTGCTCCGTAACCTGGTACCTAGGTCAGGCCTGTAGATCCCTGGATCCTCCTTCCAGCCCTTCTTGTACATGGGTGTCACATTTGCTAACTTCAGTCAACTGGAACCTGTCTCATTAGCCAGGACTGCTGACATGGAAAGTTGACTGGTGAGCACTACCACCAGCTCCCTCGGTACCTTTGTGTGGATCCCATCCAGCCCCATAGACTATATGTTTAAGTGGTGTAGCAGGTCGCTGCCTATTTCCCCTTGGATTATGGGGGCTTCATTCTGCTCCTCGTCCCTGTCTTCCAGCTCAGGGGGCTGGGTACCTAAAGAAAAACTGGTCTTACTGTTAAATACTGAGTCAAAGGAGGCATTAAGTACCTCAGCCTTTTCCTCATTGTTTGTCACTACATTTCCCCCTGCATCCAGTAATGGATTGAGATTTTCCTTAGCTCTCCTTTTGTTCCTAATGTATTTGTAAAAGCATTATTTTATTGTCTCTTAGGGCAGTAGCCAGATTAAGTTCTAGCTGGGCTTTGGCCCTTTCATTTTCTGTCTGCATAACCTCATGATATCCTTGTAGTCCTCCTGAATTTCCTACCCCTTTTTCCAAAAGTCATTAACTTTGTTTGTTTGTTTGCTTGTTTGTTTGTTTGTCATTCCTGAGGTCCAGCCAAAGTTCTTTGTTCAGCCAGGCCACTTTTCTTCCCCACCAGCTCATCTTTCAGCAGGTGGGGATGGCCTGCTCCTGTACCTTTAGGATTTCCTTCTTGAAGCATGTCCAGCCTTCCTGGACTCCTTTGCCATCCAGGACCACCTCCTCTATGGGACTCTTGTCACCCAGTCTCCAAAACAGGCCAGAGTCTGCCCTCTGGAAGTCCAAGGTGGAATTTCTGATGACCCCCCTCCTTACTTCTCCAAGAAGAGTAAACTTCATCATTTAGTGATCACTATGCCCCAGACAGCCTCCAACCATCACATCACGCACATGTCCTTCTCTGTTCACAAACAGGTCCAATGGGGTGCCTTCCCTAGTTGGCTCCCTTCCTCACCAGTCGTGTCAGAAAATTGCCTTCCACACACTCCAGACACCTCTAAGACTGTTTTCTCTACGCTGTATTGAATTTCCAGCAGACATCTGGAAAACTGAAGTCCTCCATAAGAACAAGGACTAGTGATTGGGAGACTTCTTCCATGCGCTTCTGGAGTATTTCATCTGCCTTTTCATCTATAACGGACTCTCACCATGATATCTGCATTGTTGACCTTTCTCCTGACTCTTACCCACAAATGCTCAACCCTGTCATTACCATCATTAAGCCATAGACAATCAAAACACTGTCAGTGATACTTCACTTTTACTGTAAGTTATTGTAAACATGTGAAATAAGAACAACTTGGAGAACCAACTGTAGCAGATACTTAGGGTTTGGTTTTTGGGTTTTTTATCAATAAATCCTAAAAACTTGACACTTTTTCTTGATCTACTGCAAATCAGTGCATGAGCACTAGCATATTTTAAGTGTAAGTAAGTTCTGTCTTACTGGAGTCAAATAAAATCATCAGATAAGATGAAAATCAATCAGCAAAAAGCAAAAGTGGAGAAGTGTGGAAAGCTGCTGTGAAAAACTACTCTTATGTCTTCCTTTAGCTGCCACAGTGACTTGCTTTCATGTCTAAATGGAGAAATAAGGTGGATTTCAGTTGTCAAGCCTGCAAAGTCACAGAATGAAAAAGAATCTCTTGTGTTTTAATGGAGCTGGTAACAGGTTTGTCTAGCAGAAACAGTCATCAGTACGTTACTTCTTGGTTGACCTTGTATTCATGCTGTAAGTTGTGCAAATAAACCAGAGGTAGCCAAGTTAATTAGCCCCTAACAGCTTAGTGTCACTTGCTTACTCACCTATTTGGACAGCTTGTCATCCATATCTTCTGTGTTCTTGACTTCTAAGCCATAATTAGAATTTTCAGGAGGGAAATCTTGATGTGTAATGCTTTCTTTGAGCTCAGTATGTCCTTCAGGAAAAACAGTTGTGTAAAAATCTTTTCTATCCACTGGATCTAAAACAGGACACACAGGAAAGAAAATGATGTGTAAGGAGATTCAGTGACTTTCATTTCATTCTTTTAAACTAGTGGTTTTGGAGGGTTTATGGTTGGTTTTTGGTTTTTACGTGTTTCTTCCCTTCCCCTCAGTCTTAAATGCAGTCACTAGCATTAGGTATCTAGTTGGAGTTTTCATTTTACCCAAAGTACTTGTTCATTTTG